GACTCTCCTCCAAATGGGGAATGTCCAGGTCCCAGGGCACTGAGCATTGGGATGGGGGGCATCATTGTGCCATTTTTAGAGGGCGTGCTCTGCCCCAACACTTGCGCAGAGCTACCTGGGTGCCGGACATGGAGCTAAAGACACTGTTCTTGTCCTCACTGCATCTTCTCAGTGACTTTCTGAGATGATTGCTATGATGATTTCCATTTTATAGGGATGGGGAATGAAGCCCAGAGAAGCTAAATAAGTGCCTAATATGTCGCAGCTGGTAAGCGGCCGAGCTGCAATTCTCATTGGATCACCCTCAAGCTCATGGCCATCAACACCGAGTATGTGGCGTCCTTGCCAAGGGAGTTAAACAAATGTTGGACTTTAATACCTTCCTTCTTGGGTTAACTAACACAGTTCTTTTCGAGCTCTTGAAATATGTATCTTAAAAAGACATTCCCCCCAAAAAGAATGGAGAAGAATGGAAGGCCAGGATGGAGAACTGTCCAGGAGAGGACCAGGAGTTGGCGGCTGAGTATTTAGCTTGGGACCACATCTCCTTGGCTCCTGTGTGTAACCTTGTGTTCTACACTTGGAATTCTGAAATTCCAGGCAGATGGGCCTCCAGGAAATTTCCTCTTCTCTTCCCAAGGGCTACAGTGTCCAGGACTTCCTGACTGTGGTCCCAAATTATATCCATCCCAAACTTTTGGCATCTTTTCACCTTTTGGTTTCAGGTGTATTGGGACATGACCAAAGGTTTTCATGACATCAACTCTTCTTATATTCTATAGTGGGAGAGAGTGGGGTACACGGGAGGTAGAACAGCCCTCGTGGGGACCCCCAACCATACACATTAGACCCCATTTCCAATTTCTCTGCTCATTTGCATCATCAAATATGATGCTACCCTCATGAATTGGCATTGTGGGCTGGGTTCTCCAAGCACTGGTTTGGTTTGTGAGAAAGATTCCCTAGGGTGCTTGGTGTTACCTCTTACCAGGTAATAAAACACAGCACCTTAACATTTAGGCATGCCTGTATTAGTGAACTTGTCAAATTATTTCAGGGGTTGTGTTGCATCCGAGCAGTGGAAGAACATAAAACAGGAGATGCCTAAATGATGGGAGACTGCACGGCTAGAGAAATGACTTGTGTAACATTGGAAAATACTTATGATGTGTTCAAGTTGAAGACAAAATAGGAGGTACCAGTTGGATAAGAAATTGTAAAGAGGAAACATCCTATAATGTTGACTGCTTTTCAGTGCTTTGATTAGTGGTAGTTGTTCACTGTATATTTTTTCTATGTTTTAAATTTCTACAATGAATTAAATGTATGGTAACAAACTCAAGCGCTAAAGGAAGTCACAGTCTTCCTTATTCTTTGTGACATTGTGAAAGGCCATAATTATGAAAAGTCCAACCTTGTGGACAGCCAACAGGAGATGAGGTTTGCAGTGGGAAGTTTCCCAAGGAGCAGGTGAGTGAAGCCAGCTAGTTGCACCCCCCCACTGGCAGTTCTGCTGCAGAGAGAGAAGGAGGGCTATTTTAAAACTGCCCCTCCCTCATGGCCACCCCTCTGCCTGAGTTCCCCGGGCTGAGCACACCTGCAGCTGTGCAGAGGTACCCTGGCCACGTCTGCAGCCCTGCCAGTGTTCGCCCTGTGTCTCGGCTACGTTTTCTCTCAGCTTGTTGCTTTTTAATGACCAGCCAACCACGGGGCCGAGACTAGCAAGGGGACTTTGATAGTACCCGAGGACAGGCCTGCTTGGACTCACTCAGAGCTGGTTCATAATGACTTCTGGGTAACTTGGGAGGTAGGCACATGGACAACTCTGCTGGGAGCGAGCCTCTGATCTCAGGATGCCAAAATCTGTGCTTCTCGTCTCCCCAAGATTCCATGGTATTTATACTTTTTAATTGCTGCAAATCAAACTGAAGTCACACTCCGTGAGTCCAAGGCAGTGGTGGTTCACATATATTATGAAGGAAAATAATGACCCACGTTTACAAGGAGTCTGGTCATGCAGACATGTTGAAGGTAGTGTTTATTGGGTTTCTCTTGTGTGCCAGACACTGAGCTGGGCCCTTCTGAGGAGGGCTAATCCCCACCCTGCCCAGCAACCAAGTGGATTTGTCACAGAGGAACCAGGCCTGGCATGAACAAAACAGTCATTCAGATCGGAGATGCCTCTCTGATGAGAAGTACACATGGATGGTGTTTTAGTCATCGTGAAGCAGGTCAATATGGGACCAGACATGGCTTTGGGAGTCAGAGAGATGTGGCTCTGAATGTGAGACAGTGTCACCCCAAGGCGGGGTCTCGTGTGGTGACAAGGGAAGAGAGTGTGGGCGCCGAGCAGGGAGACAGCGCGGCACCAATTCCCAGGCAGAGTGCCTGGCCTGGAAACTATCTTGTTGTTTTTCCTCTTCCATTTTCATAACTAGACACTGAATTCGAGTGTGAAAGTGTTTCAGGGAAGTCTCCTTATTTTTCACTTAGCAAAATGGGTAGGGTCCATGGTTACCACCAACTTGAAACCGAGAGGGGAAGGTACACGTTCCTAACTCCCTGTCTCAGAAGGTCGTGAGCCCGTGGTCGGGGTTTTCAAGGAGGGCCTCAGTTCTGTCTCCCGCACTGGGTGTGGGGAGGGTCACAACCACGCAGGGAAGCACGAACTCCGTGCCGCTGAAGCTCTCCCAGCTCCCCAATTCTATTTTATTATGTTTTCTTTACCATCCAAACTTGTTCCAAAACAACCAAATATGAAAGACCAGTTCCCTGATGCCAGAAAAGAAATACTAGGTCATCATCAGATACTTTGGTTGACACATCCCAGTGTGATCATGCTACACGGGACACGTAGCACGGCCTGCGGGGTACCCTGATGACACAGTGTCCTTCACTACTTGTAGGGTGGAGAGTATTACGTTTAATCTTGGTGATAAAACTGCGTCATAAAACTTTATAGGTCACAACAGCATTGTCCAACACCAAGGTCAAGATAAAATAAGCCACTGGATGAAATGCAGGCCCGCCATTCTCTATCCAACTTCCACAGGGCCGGGGATCCAGGACATTCTGGGCCTTAGAAAAGCAATACCGTGCATGTATGGAGTACCATGTAGTTAGTATGCCCCGTGTGTTCCGGAGCAACGCTCGGTCACCAACCATGCTAACGTTTCTGTGGTGAAACGTGTGGACAGTCACACTACATAGGACACATAAACAGCATACACAACCTCACATCATTACGGGTCAAGTTTTGCTGCAAATTAGCTACAAAAAGCTTTCAGTATTTTGGAGCCTTTGGATGTTAGAATTATGGATAAGGGATCATGAAGCTTATTTAAGGACGAGCCTTCAAACCCGGGGACTTTGAAGGAGATTTAATAATATGGGGAGATGCTTATAACATAAGAGTATTATTGGGTGAGTGACTGGAAACAGTAGGAATTTTCAAAGTCCTGAAATTTTAAAGTATTACACAAAGATAGAGGAAAAGCGACCTAAAACCTGTATGGTTTCCTGTTAGACCTTTTCCACGCATTTCACCATGGACACTTTGGGGGGCGCTAGCTCTGCCGTGGGTCCCCAGTCAGGAAGCAGCCTGGCTGGTGAAGGGCACCTGCTTCCTGGAAAGGCCCAGAAGCGGGCTCTTCCAGAACCCTCAGGACTGCAGCACCACGGTTCTTATCAGGTCTGTCCGGAGTGATGAAGAGATGCCCCACCCGCTGACCCGGCCCTGAGGGTTAATGGGACCTCGCGCATCTCCATCTGTCCCCCTTACACTGGATGCATGTGCCAGAGGAGTGGAGCCAGGCTTCTGGGTTTCAGTGGATCTGCAGGCAGAGGGAATGTAAAGGGGCCTGCTAACTTCAGAGGTCATACAGCACCAATGACATCGGATTCCTTAGCTTTTGGGAAGCTTTCTCGTCTCTTTACAGGATACTTAACAGATTTGCTTCACATACAGCACACACTCTTGGAGGCCAGGGCTGGATCTCATTCCTCTTTATAACAGAGGTGCCAAGTTCATTGCTGACACAGCCCTGATGCTGCTGCCTCCTTGTCACGCTGGACACCCACCGCCTCTGTGCCCAGTGCCCACCTGTGAGACCCAGGCATTGGCTGGGTGCCCTGTGCTGCCCCTCAGCTCCCTCTGGGCCTGGGATCTCCCTGGACACCAGGTGGCCCTCCTCGCCCAGGGCAGATCCTGATTTCCGGAGGGAGGGTAAAGCAACCTCTCCAGTATCCAGAGGGTTAGTTAGGTAACTTCCGAATGTGGTCCAACCCCAAAGTGACGGAGCAGGGATGGCCCCAGCTCTGCCGGACTCGGAAACTTGTGTTCTGTCTCGCACGTGCCCTCTGCCTCTCTTGTTCCACCGAGGCGAGCAACTGAGCTATCCTTCCCGTTGGCAAAATCAAGCAGATCAATAGATAAGCAGATTGATTTCAAAATAAAATGAGTGCACCAGTTTTTCTCAGTTGAAAGGTCTTCTTTTCATTATTAATATTTCTCACAATTTGGAGGTCTGGTCATATGTATCACTACAATCATAGACAGCGGGAAGGAATGGGTTTTTGGCCGGATCGCATACACACTTGGAAATCTTCAACTGACCACGTCACCACTCTGAGGGTCCCCAAGGAGGAAGCCGATTCCAGGTTCTCTGCTGTGGGAACAAGTGTGCGAACCTCTCTTCTTTTAGCTCTACCTTCCCACGGGGTAGGGGGTGAAGCGACAGAGGGTATTTCTGGGGCCCCTCGTCCCTGCCCCCACCACACACCTGTGCTGGGCAACAAGTGGCCCGCGCACAAAAACCTCGCTGTGACCGGGAAAGGTATGCACCGAACCCTGACGCACGCATCCTCAACCACGCCTGTCAGGCTCGACCTGGGCACTGGCCATGACCTTCCCGTGGGCCGGGGGATACCTTGGCATCCTTCCTTAGTTCATATTCTGGGATGGGGGAGGTTCGGGCTCACAGCCACGCAGAGGTACTTACTGCTTGTTCATAGCTCTTGGCACCGGGCACGTGAGAGGGACCTTCGACTCAGCCTGTGGAGACAACAGCAGACCTGTTAGGGGGCCTCACACACCACGTTTTAATTCTGGTGAACGTGCTACTGTTGATTCTCGTTAAAATGGGATACAGGTGTCGGCTTGGAGGAGCCGGCAGAAAGCAAATCAATCCAGGTTGGTAATTGGTTTATTTCGGGAGCGGGGTGGGGGCGGGGACTTCTTCCCTGACAGGCTGTCCCCTTTCTGTCAGCAGTCATCCCGTCTGCCCGGGGGAGTGGTGCGGACGCGTCCTGGGCCCGGCGGTCCCAGGCGTGCAATCGCGTGCCTCCCCTGGGCACCCCGGGAACGTCTGCCTCGGCTTGGCGGGCTCTGCTCTGGGGCATCTGTGAGCCTGTGGGAGAAGGAGCGTTTTGCCTTTTACGGTGTAACTTTGCCATGAAATATTGATTGGGAGTTGCATTTATATACCGTTTCCCATAGGATGCAGCGTTTTATTTGGGGCTTGTATTCACCCACCCGGGGGAGGTCGTTAGCCCCATTTCTCATGTATTGGTACGTCAGCCGCAGAGACCCTGGGAGTAGTTGGCAAGGGCATTACATCAACAATCATATGTTATGGACACAAAGACCCTGGGAGGTATAAAGGATATTGCCCACTGTATCAGTTGGGGTTCAGGCAAAACACAGATGACACTCCCAAATTAGATAACTTGAGAAGTTCAATGAGCCCGTTTAAAAGGTGTGGACAGGGCAAAGGGAACCCCAAAGCACAGGGAAGTGCCTGGTGGTGATGCTACCATGCCCGGGTCTGTGTGTAGCTGGTGGGACCCGGAGACAGACAGGCACATGGGAAGAGGGCTGTGGCTTCAGCTGCAGGACCTGAGGCAGGGAGCTGCCATGGGCAGTGGGCAGGATAAAAATCGCTTTTCACGCCCCTCCTGCCCTGAGTCTCCTGCTGCTGTCCCCTGTTAGCTAAACTCAACAGGCAGCCAGGGGTAGGAATCCATGGACATGGTTTCTATCCATCCAGCCATCTGGGCTCCCAGCTGAGGGCAGTGGGGTACAGAGCAGACCTTGCAGTTAAAGAGAATGAAGCCCATGGAGGTTAAACTACGTGCCCAAGAGCACCCATCTGCACCAGCAACCCAGCTTCACCAGATTCAGAAGCTCCGTTTCTTAGCCAGTCACTGTATTGCACCCCAATGAGCTTCAGGCATTTCCAGTTTATTCTGCCATCCGTCTATCCATGCATCCATTCATCCAAACGCAGCCTACTGAACACTTGCTTTGTGCAAATGTTGTGCCCAATAAAACACGGTCCCTGCCCTTACGGCACTCCTGAAACTCAGTGTAACACAGCCCCTGCATCCCTCCATGGTGGCTGTACTCAACCTTCTTTGTAAAAACCAGTGTGTGTAAAGCAAGACAGAAGGAATCCCAGCTCTGCCTCACAGAGCCAGGGAAGTCTTTCCAGAGGAAATAGTACTTGAGTTGGTTCTCGCAGAGTAACTCTGTTTTTTTAGGCTTAGAATTAGGGAAGGCATTTGGACAAATGGAACAAACGCCACACGCAATGGTGTGAAGGTGTTTGAAAGCACAGTATGGCCTGAGGGGCCATACACAGCTCGGTGAGACCCCAGAGGACAGCAGCTTGGATGTTGGTAGAGAAGGGAAAGGAATTTGGGGAGGTCCACTGGATTCCCCTCGTCAAAGACCATGCATGCCAAGGGCTGAGATTTGGATTTGAGCCCAGTGATCTTGGACCAGTAACTGCAGGAAAGTTATTAAGGAACTAGGACTGAGCTCCAGGTCCTCAGACATGCTGCGCATGACCCCACACCCACATCCTCTGTCGTGTGCCACTAGGTGGGTGAATGACGCAGGAAAAGGGGAGGCAGCTTCGGGGTTCTCTGGAAGGTGTGTGCAGCATCTAGTTCACGGCCTCCTTGGGAAGCTGTCCCTCCGTGGTGCTGGAGAAGAGGACCTGAGCCTCCGTCAATACACCACGAACAATGCACGTCAAATCCTGGAGGCGTTCTGGACTGGAAGTTGAGGGACTCTGTTCAATGCTGCTGCTGTCACTAACTAGCTGTGTGACTTCGTAGGAACACTTGGCCTCCCCTCGTTTATAAATGGTAGCATCCATCTTTCTCTTATGGTATTAAGTGTGAAGTAAGCTGACGTGCATGGAAATGTCTTACAAACTATAAAGTGACATGGAAATAGGGATATATAACTCCGTGTATGACAAAGTAAAGTGTGCAGTTTCAACACCAGTCCCGGTGTATTTGGGTGTCTAGGGTCACTGATGGGGTCTCTGGATATCAGGAGTTACAGAGGTTCCATTACTAGCTTATGGGGACACAGGACAAATTTTCCTTTGCCTTCCTCACTTTAGGAGCCTCCATCACTTAAATGTCCCATAGTCCTGCCCTGCCTTTGACAGCATTAATCAGCAGTGCGGAAGCAGCTTCAATTGGGGTGAAGTAGGTCTGTGCTCACCAAGGGCCCCCCGTATGCTTGGCTCTCGGCCAGCTCTCATGTCCAGAGTGAAGGAACCACAGGGGGTAGCACAGTCCCCTCCAAGGCTTACTGCCTTGGGTCAGAGGCCTGGGGAGGTGGCCAGGGCAGCTGCTTTCTGGCCCTGTCCCTGTCCCTGTCCGCCTCTGGGTGGCCTTGTACGAGGCATCACAATGCTCTGGGCCTCAGTTTTTCACCTGGAAAATGAGCTAGTTGGTCCCAATAGGTCTCTTCCAGCTCAAAGATTCCATAGAAAGCTTCCATTTAAGGAAACCACAATCTATTCATATTTGGTGACAAAAATGATCTTCAAAAGTTGGAAATGTGTTATGTTTCTTTTTTATTGTTTTCTCTAATTTCCTCACAGAGTGCAAATGCAGGAAGCTTGCCAAGCACTGGCACATAGGACAGGCGGGTGGAAGGGGGTGGGGGTGTGGGGTGCGCGGTGGGAGGGAGTTGCTAACTGAAACCTTCGTGAATCATTTGATCTGGAACATGAGTGCTCAAGCAGCTTGCAGTTTGAAATTTTAATATAAGTTCTAAAAGGATATTTTACCAATATCTTTTGGGCGATGGGAGCAGTCCATTATACAGAAAGAAGTTGAAAACCTCCTCTAGAAGCCCAGAGTTCTCTGGCATCTAAAACGCAGAGTTACAGGGTCTCAGGGACCCACGTCAGAGTGTGAGTCAGCCCAGCGGCGTTGGCGGCAGGACGGAATGCATGACACTGGCCCAGTGCACAGCCCTCTGCTCAGCGCCAAATGTCTAAGATGCTTCTGAGAGCGGGCAGGTATTTTAATGGGCAGGAAGGCAGAAGGGAGTGGCCGGCAGAGCGTCAGCGCTTGTTGTCCCCGCCTCTGTGGTTCCACTCACGGACGTTTTCTCATTCTTGGGGAGGGTAACAGATAACCATGAAGCTCGTCCTGAATGGAAATCTAAGATCAAAGGGCTCTGTGGGGTGCTTTCTGTCGTGGCCTTGGCTCAGGGACCCCAAGAGGCTGCTGTGCCCCAGTCAACAGGGAAAATCTTGCCATGGTTTGCTCCTTCACTCTCTGGAGGAACCAGGGCATTCATTTCAGCTTTTCTTCCTAATTCACCACAGAAATAGGGTGTAAGGGTGGCTTTTGCTGTTGAAGTGACATTCAAGTGCCATCGGTCAGTCACAGCAGGGCACTTGGTGCACACCGTGCTAATCTGTCCAGCACTGGCTCTGCCCCTGGGGGTCTCAAGAAGAGACTGAGTCCTGCCTTCAGGGGCCCGTGGTCAGAGAGGGACCCGACCAGAGGATGCCCTGGGCCCTGGCGAGTCCACAGGGGGAGGCTGCCTTTTTTCATGACGCCGGTTTATTCCTCTGGTGAGGGAAAATGCCAACACGGTTACAACTTAGACACCACCTGCAAATCAAACATAAACGCCAACTGGGAAGCAAGCTGCCTGACTGTGTACCAGGTTCTACAGCACGGGCTGGAGAGCTGGAAGATGCTCATAATTAACTTTGTTTGACTAAGAAATCTGTGCTGTCATTTTAGTAACCGAGTTCCCGTGGGATTTCTGGACCCCGGAGGAGCTGGAGATTGTTGGGCATCCAAAACGAACCCCAGTTTGAGAAACACTGCTCTGTCCTGCACTGCCTCCCCGTCAGCCTCACCACTCCCCTCCAGGGAGAAGGGGGCCGTGGGAAAGAGGCGCACAGCACAGCTGCAGTCCCGACAGTCAAGGGGTTCCTGCCCCAACCACCCATTTTAGCCAAATAATTCCACTGTTCGGAAGGGATGGTCCTATTGATTACATTTGAGTAGCTCACTGAGTACTTTGGGGTGGAAAGGTGTTTTGCAAAGACAATAGATGTGATGGTCAAAACACATAAACATTTCGGAAAATGAAAATAAAGGAAACGAGACTATTCAGATTGGGAGCATCTTTCAGATTTCCAAAAGATGTGCATTAAACTTGGGCATGAAGCCAGGATGCCTGCTTCTGAGCTCAAAATCCGCCTGGGGGTCTCAGCGAATGTGCTCAGAGCCAAGATATGTTTTATAAATAGATTGCATTTGGGTGCAGATCTTAATCCGAAGATAATTAGTACCCTTATGGTATAAATGCGTTAAACAACTGGGGTGACCCACACAGCATGGTCCCCACTGTCCTGGGGAAGCCTTGTTCTCCAGTGGGGGTTCCCTGGTGCTACTGAGGGAGCTCACACAGGGACATGGGTTCATCCATATTTCTGCCGCATTTCACCAGATCCAAAATTAATATTTCATGAAGGAAAAACAATGCTTATACAGTAAAGAAATATTTTTGTTCCCAAACATTTCTCACTTATTCCTTGAAGATAAAGCTTATAAAAATGCTGGCCTCTGTCTGCGTCAAAATTTAAGCACCCTTCTTTTAATAATGATGATGTGCCCAAATAGAGACGGGTGTGGATCGCTGGAGAGGATACAAAAATCAGCCGGGAGGGTCAGATGCGGCTGTGCCGCTCAAACTGGGTCAAGGCTGGAGGAGAAGGTCCAAATTAGGGCTTGATGCTTTTCCTCATTAAAACAGGAAAACAAGAAAAGGACTGAATATAAAATACATAAAGCATACATCTGACTCTTTCGGCACCTTCACATCTAGTGTATCCAGAGTGGTGGATGTGATCCGGACTCAAGGGAGGGAGTAATGTATTCGTATTTGGGGGAGAGGGTTTGGGGATGTGAAGAGAGAGAGAGAGGGAATAGCATGCACGAACCTTGAGTAAACATGTTCAAACCAAGATTTCTCAGATGCAGCTCTTAATTAATTTGCTCTCAATTTTATGTAATTTTCTCCTGTTTTCATATAAAAATGAGAAAGTTACATTTTAGGGATGCTTCTACTTGGAAAAAGATGTATGCTGATTGGATTTCTAACTCCATACCCTGGTCAGGGCAATCAGCTAAATTGAATTAAATATAACACTTAATTTTATTGGATTTCCAATAAGTGGAGGCATTTAAAGTCAAATGGATTGTTATTATAGATTTTTTTGAGGAATAAGGGAGATTGCTCTCCTCATTTTTCTGCTATTATATATTGGCATATATATTTTTTAATAAAAAACTTTCAACTATCTTGGTAACAAGTAAATTTCCTTAAGTCTCTCAAAGCAAAGTGCATTTGCTTTTCATCTTTAAATTATTTTGAAAGGACGCTAATGAACCGGTGTATAGATAGTTTCAGAATTTCGTACTCCTGGTGCTTCTTGTTTTCAAAAGCTATTTCTGTTTTGCAGAAACAGTTCCCTTCTGGGGTGAGAATTTTTTCTCTACCTTTTTCATTCCATTTTGTAGTAAATAGTCTCTTTTTCCTCAACTTTTCTCATTTGCTCTTTCTGCTTCTTTACCTTCCTTTTTTTCCTCTACCCTTTCTCCTTTCTTCCCTGATTTTCCTCCCCCTCTTTCCTTTCTTGCTTTTTTTGTTCTCCTATCATTAAATTTGTTTTACTGTTCAGATAAAATGGGACTGTAACAAAAAAAAGAGATGATCAAGAGCCTCATGACACGTTTCCTCTATTATAAAGTTTACCTCGTTACCGCACCCCTCCTTTCAGCTGGGGGGTGGGCACTGCCAGCCTAGAATCCCACCATCCCCCACCTGTGATGGATGCTCCACTGACAGACTCATGCCTGGGGGGGAGTACGGAGCCACAGTTTAGAAAAAGAAAGATAGGAGGAAACGAAGTCTGACTCAGGGACTGAGACCCGCAGGTGCCACAGCTCCCAGGCCCCCCCTGCGTCCATGGGCGGGGCCCACAGGGCAGGCCCAGGGGTGGAGGCACTGTCCTTCTCTAAACACTTACTAGGCACCTGTTGTATACTAGTCACTTTCCCAGGAGCTCTTTCAGGATCAAAAAGGGTCTCAAAAAAGTTTGAGAGAAACTTCAAGTCCAAAGACAGGGAGTGAAAAGCCAGGGAATCTAACCAAGACTGGAGTAAGACTGGGCTAAGAATACTACTAATTAATACTACTAATAATAATGCCCTTTACTGAATAATGCCAGGAGCCTATGTAGGACATCCTGTTTAATTTAGACTCCACTGTAACGCAGCAATCCAAGTGACTCATATTTTTCAGTATTAAATAATTTCATCATTTTGTTCAGTGAGAGTCCTCTTGAGCCAAATCTGTGTTGGGAACAAACGCACAGTATGGATTCGGATGAGCTCAACACCTAATTTGTACCTTCAGAATTTAATTCCTGAATTGAACTCCCCCCAATAATTAACTCTTCCTTTGTCCTTTCTTTGATTCTTTTAAGAAGCCCCTAGCAAGCTGTGTGGGAGGCAGGTCTTTCAGCCCAGGAACGCTGAATCCCACAGCCTGAGTCTTAGTGTCTGTGTTCTGATGCCGGGACACCAGCATCCTCCTGTGAACACCAAATGAGGTCATGGAAGTGAAAGTGCTCTGTGAACTTGAAGCTGTTATGCAAGTACAGTTCACCAGGCACTTACTGAACAGTTAGTTTCTCAGCGCCACTGCCACGTGAAGAACCCTGGGGGTATGGAATTGACGAGGAGTATTCTAAAGAAATTTTTATCGATTGTCATTAAATCTTAATATCTTCAGAGGATTGGTACATTTGGGGAGTTGTAAGATACTACCAAGGCTTTGATAGATAATATATTAAAATAAATATAAAAACGATGAGGTTATACTTCTGAGAATCACCTCAAAATAAGACTTCTTTAGATCAAAATTCTTTACAAGGAGCAAAAGGCCGAAGAATCTCATGGTGGTCTGTCTGAAGGTAAAAAAAGCTGATGATAATTGTGCTAAACATGATAAGAGATACTATCATTAACAGTGCACTGAATCATAGCTAGACACTGGGATATGGAACGTATTACTCATTTCCATGTTGGCTGCTCCCCACAGTTTGTTATTCATGGTTCTTTTTCTTTATTAAGTGCTCATATGGAACCAATATATCCTGTCTCAGTCTTATTGATAACTTACTTGGCAAAGTTACTAGAAATTTTAGTTCAATCTGTTCAAGATCTTAAACCTAATTGAGATTCAAGGACCTGCCTTTACTCAACAACTGAATCTCTTTGGCCATTCTATCTCTTTCATACCAGGGTGGGGCGCTCGGCCTGGAGCAGCTCCAGAACTTAGGTCTTGGTGGGCCTCGGCAGGTGCCTGGGATGGTGGGCGTCCCTGCTTTGTGCAGCGGTATTCGTGAAAAGGCGCTTCTAGTTCCAGCTGTGCTACTCACTGTGTGACCTTGGCAACAACCCTGCACGGCCACCATCGATCCATTTCCCGAGGGTCTCTTCCTTGTCAGACACTGCGTGTGCATACAGTCCCTCACTCTCATCCTCATAGCAAGCCACCAAATCTACCCAGTTTCAAATCACAGTACACCGCCAACAGCAAGCCGAAGCTAGGAGAGGTCTCAGCTACTGAGCCCAAGACACACATGAAGTCACACACGACTTTTGCATTTGGTGTCAACTGACCACAAAGCCTCCTCTCTTTCCATTTCTCCATGATGATGTTTACCCACTATTTGTCTGAGCCTCAGCTTCAACATCTTTTAAATGAGCCAATACTGCCCTGCCAATGCCATTACGTTGTTAAGATCATTGACTAAGAAGCTGCGTCCAAAGGTTCTGTCAGTTCTACGAGGCTGTGGGAATATTACTGTTCTCTAACGAGATTACTAAAATAAAATCTTCATACGTTTACCCACACTCATCAGTTTCATGGCCAGTGTGGGCCTATAAATTACAGACACTTTGATGACACTCCTTCTCTTTCCTGTCTCACTCTAGTTTATTGTTTGTTCTTGCCAAGAGCAACCTGGCAGGGATACCTCCTGGCATGCTTGGAGGTGAGCATTTTACCCCAACTTTTCTCACCTCGGGCACCTTGCCTGGTCTGCGTGATTCGAAAATCACACCAAAGCAGAAAGAAAAGCATCTCAATTCGGAAAAGTTAAAAAAATATTTATATATCCATGGGGACTCCAGGAGTTAACATCTACTTTCAATGACCTACTGGAGTGGAGGCTGCCCTTTAGGGGGCTGTCGCATAAAGGTCAGAGAAGAAAGCCGGCACCCAGGCTGGCCTCCGGGTTTTTGTGGCAATCAGCCAGGGAGCCCCGGCTCCTGAGAAAGAAAATTGAAAGCATTTCGTCTTTTCATGTTTTACGCGTAGATATCTAGAGTCCTTTTTCCCAGCGGAATGAAGGACCGCTAAACACCGCATTAAGGAAGCTGGCTTTTTTAATGCTGGTGGAGGCTTTAGAAGAAGCGTAGCATTCCACGCTAGAAAAATCCGTTTTACTTGGGGGCAGCTCTTTCCTAATGACCGTTGGTGATGGTGAGGTGGCCACTCAGATGGAGCTGGCCTACCTGGTTTACCTGAACAGTGTGGCGAGTGCAAGAGGCCCCAGGCTGAGGTGATGGTCTCCTGCCGGGGCAGCTGTGCCGGCATCGCGGAGAGGCTCCGGGAGCTGCTCGCCGGTCCGCCGATGGGCTGAGTTATTCTCAGTGCGGAGCTGTGTCTGTCAGCAGGAGGCTCCTCCTAGGTCGGCTGTGGGTTTGGTTTCCTGTGCAGAGCAGCCACAGACCTTTGCTGGTGTGACCCATGTTGGGGTAGGACTTCCTCCTCGTGCCTTGAAATGCAGTGAAGCTGCAGGAGGCCGAGGGCTCCCAACCTGAGGGATGTCCTTAAAGACACACAGTATCCTCATGGGGCACTTTGCAATTTTCAGAACACCCCAACACAGTCTGCTGAATAACATTCACACACAAAAGGTGGGCTTTGCTGGACTCATTTCGCAGGCACACAGAACACAAATTATCTTGTGACTTGACCTTGCCAATGGCTTCCTGAGCCCAGCCAAGACACATGGACCAGATCCATCAGGTGTTACGAGGAGAACGTGGGGACGGGGATGAGAGAGGTCTGGCTGTCGTTCCTGCTGTATTAATTATTAGTGATGTGATCTTGGGCAAGTGTTGGTTTCTTTTTCAACTAATTTCCATTCTGTGATGGAGACATGATATATACGTATTAGAGATACTCCAAGAAATGAACATCATGTAAATAAAGACATGCTGCGATGTTTCATCTGTCAGGAGCTCCGTGTGATTCCTGTCCTCCTTCACCCAGTTCACTGGGGCTGGCACGAGTCCTCGCAGGTGCCTGTGGTCCCCCTCCGGTCCTTGCCACTTGACACTCTGGTTTTACATCAACTGATGTTGGATTCCACGATAAACACCAATATCACTTACATTCAAGGGCAGAGGTTTCTATTTTCCTGGGTAAATAACTTGGGTTTTGACCGAACCTGCACTCTCCCAGTAACACCAGCGTGGCACTCATCGCACGTGAACTGCGTGCCCGGCACTGTGCCCAGCCGTACGCGGGCCTCATCTCACTAACACTTAGCAATGATCACGAGAGGATAACATGCCTGATCCCATTTTGAAACAGTGGATCGCCTAGAGAGGTTCAAGTGATGTACCCACTTTGTCGATTAGCTTTGGCTGCAGTAGGGGCTTAAAACTTCAGCTCATCATTTTCCTTAGTTCACTATTGTGCGGTTCACTGTTGCGTGGTTCACGGACCTGGACCTATGTTGGTTTCCTGGGTCCCACGATGAAGTTTTGCAGAGTCGTGGCTCAAACCCTAGAAATGTCCCGTCTCAGAGTTTTGGTGGGTAGGAGTCCGAATCCAGGTGTTGGCAGAATTGGTTCCTTCTGAGGAAGGATCTGTTCCAGGTCTCTCCTGGCTGGTACATGGTACTCTTCACCTTTATGTGGCATTTTCCTTGTGTCTGTGTCCACTCTCTTTGAAGGAAACAGTCACCTTGGGTTGGGGCCCCTCCAATGACCTTATTTTAACGTGAGCACCCCTTTAAAGACCCTATCTCCACTGGGGCAACACTCTGAGGAGCTGGTGTTTTAGTTCGGTGGTGTTGGTGGGGCACAGTTCAGCCTATTATGGGACCTGGTCGTCTGGTGTCTGCTGTGGGTTGACAGGCAGCTGGTGACCTGAGAGTGGCAGATTCATGTGTCTGTTGATTGGCAGGAAGTCAGCCAGCATGGCTTTTCACCATCCAGCAGGCTAGACCGGGCTCATTCATATGACAGGCTGGGGGCTTCGGACACAGCCCGAGAGGAAAACCCCAGTGCACCAGCCTTGTCCAGTCTCTGCTTACATCTGGCTTGCTACAATCCCACTAGCTGAAAGAAATCCCACAGCCAAGTCCAGTGTGAATGTGGGAGCTCACTCAAGGGGTGGATTCCAGGAAGGGAGCTGTGGTAGCCTTTGTTGGCAAGTGGTCTAATACCCAAGTTGGCATCTACGTAGTGGCTGGACTGCAATGCGACCCAGGCCTCATGGGATGACAACCCTGTGTGTTACCAAAGAAGAAATGCAGATAGTTTGGTATCATGAGAATGTGGTTAATAGTGTAGGTAATGTTTACAGCTTTTTCCCTGGAATTAATTAATTAATTAATTAATTATCTATTGAATATTTATTAAGTACCAAGCACTCTATTAGGTGCTGAAAGTACAATTAGGTGAAAGACACCTAATCCTTGTCCTCATGGAGCCTAAAGTCTAGGGGAGGAAAAATAAATGAAGGGACTTCACAAATAACAACAGAACTATAATATGCGATAAATGCAATGATGAGCATTTGGTCAGACATTCACTCCTCTGGAACAGTTATTGATGTCCCCTACCCGCCACCTGTCGGGTGCTGGTCTGGATGTGGGGATACAGAGGGGAGCAAGCAAAGCCTGGACCCGACCCTGGCAGAGTGCATACTCTAGAGGAGTAGAAAGGCACTAGGAAATGCTCAGAATGATGTGTGCTCCGAGACAGGAAGGAAGAGGACCCACAGTGCACGAGAGGAAGTATGTTCCACTCTGAGGGTTCGGGAAAGACTTGCCTTGAGAGGCCTTTATGATGAGCTGCCTTTCACTGGACTGAAAGAGAGGAAAAGGGGAGGGGAGAGGGAGGGAAAGAAGAAGAGGGGGAGGAGGAGGGAAGGGAGGAAGAGAAGGAAGAGAGGAGGGAGGACTAAAGATAGCGTTAGGAAGAACGTTCAAGGCCAGAGGGGTCATCTGTCTAGATGCCCGGATGGAAGACAGTGAAGCTCACCAGCTCGAAAGTCAGCTGGAATGTGGAGAGAACAAGGGAGAGCATGACACCAAATATCTACAAAGACAGGCTATGCTCCCCTTAGTCTGAGCCCAGCCGCCCACAAGTCCAGCCCACATTGTCCTCTTCCTGCCTGTCCTATATTTCACAGTCTATTAATCATCCCTTTGGGTGACAATTCATTTTGTGTTAATTGCTTCCTGAGTTCTTATCTCTTGCTCTCTGCGCTCCATGCCCTGCCTGCACAGTTTATGGGGTCCAGAGGCCCTGCGTCCTACTCCAGGGTATTGGGAAAATCCAGAGGGGTTGGTGTTTTGACAGCCAGGTCGAAATTACCCAGACGTACCACTGAAAGGCTGCCTGGCTTTGGGCAAAGGACTTGACGGTTCTGAGTTTCCTTCATAAAATGGAAATGAGGATGCTTACTTGGAGGAGTGACTATGAGGGTTCAATCGCTTATCTCCTGCAGACGTGTCCATATGGTTCCTGGTGCCTAATTAACCTCAGTTCCCTTGGTTTTCCCCAGGCCCCCCCTCACCTGCCCTGGAGCATGCTCTGGGACCCCCAGGTACTAGCGGATGGTCAGCGATGCACCACATGTGTGAACAAAGCTGCGTGCCAAGCTGCCTGGGCCCGGATGGGATATTTCTGGGTCAGCGCCTGACACAGTGAGGCTGCTGAGTTTTCACTTTCTGGCTGGTCCACTCACAGGAAGCCTTTGGGTAGGTTGCGTGAAGAATGACAGGAAAAAACAAAACACCAGGAAAATAAAGAGCATGACTTTTAAGGCCCATTCATGTTGAAGTAGGACTGGGGTCCTGGGGCAGCTCTTGAGGGCCATGTGGAGAGGGGGTCAGGTTTCTCGGTGACACCGGCCTCGCTCGTGAGTGAGTGGTCGCAGGTCATCTAAGGTAACCGAGTCTCTCGTTTCTCACCTGCACAAAGAAGTGTGGCCCCGCCAACCTCACAGCATTTTCCAAGCGCACGATTGACCACCTTATCCTGCATGTGCAGGCAGACACGGAGCTACAGGCGTAACTGCAGGTCAGCTGCCTGGAACCCATTCAAACAGATCTCTAAATGTTTTTTCAACTTTTATGGATGTAATGCTCGGGAGGAGAAACTAATATTTTTATCCACACTTTAAACATTATTTTCTTATTCTTAAAACATTTTTATTTTGAAATAATTATTGACTCACCTGAGATGGCAGAAACAGTAAAGAGAGGTCCCGGGAGTACCCACCCGTCACCCAGGCCCTTCCCCACCCCAGAGGAACCGACTTCTTGTGAGCAAACATTGTATGCAGAAACGGATGTGATTTTCAATTTAATTCCTTTCTCTTTAAAACTGAGACAATGTGTTGGAGGAGAAAAAAAGAGATGGCAAAGCCTGCCCTAATGTTACCACTTTCCTGCTATTCTTGCTCTCTCCTCAGTTTTCTTTTGCAGTTTTTTTGAACAAAACAAATTTAGGTGATAAAAAAAATTGCTGACCTCAGGAAGTGTTATGACACCATGTGGCACTTGGCTTCATCCTTTCGGTGGATGTGACTCCCAAGGTCAGGCTCCCAATGCTCAGCTCATCCTGGGATGGAATTGAGGCCAGGGTTGCACTGTTCAAGTTCACATCCTTACACTGCAGAATGAACTGGGGGACTGTCTGCCCCCCACCCTGGTGGGCATGTTGTCTGTTTTATAGATTCCTATTTGAGGGGAATGTCTCCTGCAATGGACCAAAGTCCACGTATTTAATTTTTTCTTTGCCAGTTGCCTGAAAGCAGAGCTCCTGGGTGGAAAGGTGGGCTCATTAGCACCTGCATTTCTGATCGATTGTAGTGGAGCACCTGTTTCTGTGGCGCCTTGGGCAGTGTGACTCCAGGCCCCCTGAGAGTGCTCACCTCACACTAATTGCTTTATCCTTCTGACCTCATCTCTGGCTCCTTCAGGAAACCTGTCTGAGCCTCCCCCATCAGCTGTGGTCTCCTCTGCATCACGAGAGCCCTTTCCATCTGAAAGGGGAAGTTGGGCATGAGCCGAAGTTGTGCCCTCTGCTGGATTTCAGATGTGCTCCGTTTCAGTGGGGCCCGTGCCACCAGGCGGTCAACTCTGTGACTCCCAAGAAGTAGCTTTCTGGGGAAAAGCTAACGTAAACCCAGCTGGCATTCAAACACATCTGGTCGTGTCTGGGGAACTATCGCAGGTGGGGTTGTTCGCGTAGAGGTTCATTCTCTCTAGGAAGCTTCTTCAGGGGCCGGCCAATGGCCAGCCCAATTGCACTAATACCTTCCACAGCAAGCCAGACCCCAACATGGGTAAGCCCAGGACTCCGTGTAAAGCTGGTCCGAGGGACAGGGCCATCTTTCTGAGCTT